TCTCGTGACCTGCGGTTTTTCCTTACTTTAGAGATAATGTGTTCTCAGCCCTCATTATGCTTAAATATCTATTTCCTTTCTCTGTTGTCTTAAGTTATAGAAATAAATGTGTATATTTCAGCTAATTGAGGCTCACTTCCTAGTTTAACAAAAATAACAATTACTCATTTCTGCACTCGGGAACCGAGGCCGGGTGTCTCGAAGACCCCATGGGCCGTCCTGTCTGCGCATTTGTTTCTTGTCGGCCTCCAAAGGGTGACTCGCTCTGGCTTCAGCTGGCACGAATTAAGAGGTGTCATGCCATATTTTTAAGTGTGATGTTATAAACTTAACATTATATACTATCATATAAAATACAGGGAATAATAATTTTCAAATGAGACTGTTACACATTTTAATGAATTTCAATAAAATTTAATGTGGATAAATTACCATTTTAGAGAGTTGGCAATTCCTGGAGTGATCCTTACTATGAACAGAATCACACATTGGGACTGTGCCCAATTAAGGAAGTTTTATGAAATCTTCCACTAATTTCAGTTTCTTGACTAAATTGGAATAATGTCTAGGATGTTTTATTTTTAATTTTCACTTGAAATATTTGAGAGTGTAATCAGTGCCAAAGAAGACTGCACTCATTTGTTAGACGTATGATTTTGGGCAGATCGCTTCCAGTACTTCAGTTTTTTCCACCTATTTTACGAAGTTTAAATATGGAGCAGTTTGTATAGTATAAAATAATCATTTAATTATAGCAATGTAAATTACTCAAGACTCTACTTGCATTCTGACACTAATTCTTTCTTTCTTTTGAACAACAAAGCTTGATGACCTCACACAAGACCTCACTGTATCCCAGCTCAGCGACCTTGCAGATTATCTGGAAGATGTTGCATAGACATGAAGAAGGAAGTATTCTGATTAACAGATGACAAAAGACTGATCAATTCCATTTTTGTCCCCAGACAATCACTCTTTGCTGGAATGTCTGCTCCCTATTGGTGCCTTGCATTTCAAAAAGACTGCAGAAATTTTTAAAAATTAACTTTTCATTTTACCAAACAAAATACTTCCTATTTGAGCCTGTGTGTAGAAGATTTAATATTCTTAATTTGGTTTAGGTATTACATTTCTTTATGGAAATCGATCATGCTCAAGTTCATTATAGGGAGGAAACCCCTGAAAACATCAGTGTTAAGAGCGTGATGAAAAGTGTCAATAAAGCAGTAAAGCTGTAGGTTTCCACAGCTCTGCACGGCTGCTGGTGCACGAGACCTTTGGAGACCTTGGCTTTAGCCATCTGGAGTCAGAGCTTACACAGTATATTTTGATATTCTGCATATAGTTGGCAAAATGACCGGATAAATTTGTAATACTGAGGCATATTAATATAAGTTAAATTTGTTGTGTCAACTTTATTTTGTATTTCCTTCCATTTGGAAGGTTTGTTAGACCACTAAGGTTATATTAAAGTAATCTTGTGTGTGCTATTTAGTTTTGCTTGTTTTAAAGAAATCTGGAAGTAGTTAAGACTTTTAGTTCATGGAATTGTCAGGAATAGGTAACATTGCGCTGCTTCCCCCATTGTCTGTGTATGCAGCTTTAGTCACAGGTTCTCTTCATTAGAGTTAAAATTTATTATTTGTAAGCATTCCTCAAAACACACTAAATACCAAAATGCATCTGAAACCATTAAGCTGTGCTTTTATTTCAGATCTGTAAGTTAATTATATTAAAATCCAAATTGGAATGAAATAGTAGTAATGGCCTAAGACCATGTTCAGTTTGACAGGCTTTGTATATGGTACATAATTTCATTGTAACTCTTTAAAAATAGAGCCAATAATGGAATTTCCAGCTGTCTTATTTATACTGTTAAGCATTGTGCTGCTATTATGTAGGTCACTGACATTAATAATTCAGAAGTGTTTAAAAATGTGCAAATAGGGGAAAAAACCTGGGAAGTAATGCATGCATATTCATATAAATGTAAGTAAAGCTATGATTATGTTGAGTTTCTGTATATTTTAATTTCAATTGAATATGGCTTTTTATTAAAAGTTACCTTTGTTAATAAAAGGGGTAAATTAGACATAATTCGTTGATTACAGTGAGTGAGTAGACTCCCTGGTTTGCATAATGCCAGTTTTTCTGTTGCATATTAGCCTAAACATTACAAAAGAATTGGGGGGCCCTAAAATGTAGAGAAATGAAAATGTAAGGAGTAGGATTATGTAACAGAATCTAGTTTTTTAAAGCGTAAGTGAAACGGAGCTATA